ATATATATATATATATATATATATATATATATATCTTTTTTTTTTTCATTGCACATGCACTCTGTCCATTTCCTCTAAATTTCGTTAAGAGTTTACAACGTCTGTCGTTGAAAATCCTCGACTGAGCATGTCCGACTAAATATCGAAGTTACGCGCGGTAACGGTTCTTCTATCGATGAAATCGGAGTGAAAGGTGCACAGGAGAGGTAGCAAATAATAACGAGCCTTTATTGAAGATTATATAAGTCGTCGACGGTGTTGAAAAATCCGTTTTAAACGTAAACCTACGAAGCTGCTGAAAGAAATGCTAAACTGCCCAACTGCCCCCTCTCCCCTTTTTGACCGCCATGGTGGTTCTGATGTTCAAACGACTAATCGATCGCGGATCGATTACCACTTCACGTCGTCGGTATTTGAATTTACTTATTGACTTCTCCGTCTCTCGTCGAGCGTATTGTCATAAACTCGGACCGACGGCTAATTAATCGACAGAAGAGGAGTTTTGCCTTTGATTGCAGTGCCCTACTCGTTACAACGAGTACAGTTTCGCTGGTTTTTTCTTTCTTCTCGCGTCAAGAGATCACGCTTGTCGAGCCGTTTCATCCCGCCATCTCTTCCCCTCGTCCCTCTCTCTCTCTCTCTCTTACACACACGCATACGCACACACTCCTCGTTCCCTTCCACGGCAATGTAAATTAATTGTGTCGTGAAAGTCGTGACGGAACGTTCTCCACGCTTTGTGAATTACACCTACCATCACCAACGATCGTCGGCGATTCGTCGCGCTTTTTTTTCCTTTTTTTTTTTTTTTTTTTTTTTTTACAAAGTCGCCGCGTTACTCGCACGAAGTGCACTCGTAGCCGGTCCAACGAGACTGTTTAATTGGCACCAATCGTATCACAGGGGCGGCTAGAACGCGCTTTGTATGCGCGTCGCCTGTTTCATTCGAAGCTTACTCTTTTTAGACTTTTATTCCTAGGAGAAATTAAATAACGAGCGGCAGCATATCCACGGGCATTTTTTTTTTTTTTTTTTTTTTTTTTTTAATATACTTACGGCTGCTTTCATCTGCCAGTGAAATTGGAACGTCTCGCGTATGTGTCTCTGCGTCTGTAGTTTGGTTCGTCGAATAATACGTCAGAGAAGCAGTCCCTTTTGACGAAGTATATATAACAGCTCGATGGTCGCGAGAGTGAACAACAAAACTGCCACGATTTACAGCGTGCGGCGAGGAAATTAATTTCGTCTTTCGAACTTTTCAACGTGCGTCAATCGGTGTCCTTCTGTCTGCTATCGATTGGTGTACTTCCGCTTTTGTCTCGCGTCTCGATATTATTAAATGAACGGGCGCGCGCACCCTCCGCGGCGGGCTAAAGAATAGATCGACACACACACACACACATACATACGCGCGCGCGCACGGCCTGTTTTCCGCCAAAAATAGCGCGCATTCGAAATTCAGTAGCATCGATGGAGTGTAAAATAGATGCAAATATTTGCGCGAGTCTGCCTTCCCTCCCGAATCATGCACGCCATCCCCGGCTATTTTCACGCTCTACCATAACCATTCCCTTGTTTGTAATTAATTGCCGATGCGGTGTAGTCTTTGGTCGTACGCTCGTGGCGTGGTTTTCGCGCGTTTCTATGCCGAGGACCGGAAAGAAATACACATTTCGTTTCCGATCGTATCTAACCGGGGGTAG